CAAAGATCAGCAAGACACTGTCAAAAATCAGCAAGACATGAGCAAAGATCAGCAAGACATGAGCAAAGATCAGCAAGACACTGTCAAAGATCAGCAAGACATGAGCAAAGATCAGCAAGACATGAGCAAAGATCAGCAAGACATGAGTGAAGATCAGCAAGACATGAACAAAGATCAGCAAGACATGAACAAAGATCAGCAAGACATGAACAAAGATCAGCAAGACACACAAAAATCGTTAACATGCAGAAATATCAGTAAGACACAATTAGACAAGCAGATTACAAGTTAAAATTAGCAAACCCACTGCTAATAACAGCAAAACTGTAGCTAAAAAAGCAAAATAATAGCTAAAACACCAGATACCCTAATAGCAACAAAACAAGCTAAAATCAGAAGAACAGTTGCTAAAATTAGCAAAATGGRTAGTTAAGATAAAATTAACATTCTAAACACTAAAATGTGTTTTTAAATGTTTCTTCACATCTTATTTAGTTTTATATTTTGACATTTTATTCTTGTATGTCTTTAAAAATATTTTCATTTTGTAACTTTAATTTTACTTACAGTTTTGTCATAGATTCTCTTTGTCTTATAAATATACGTTACATTTTAACATTTAAACATTATTTTAGTCATTTGTGACCATATTTAATTGTTTCTGTATAATAAAGTCATTTTGTTCATTTAAATGTGTGTTTATAAGTTGATGTTTTTTGTTCTTTAACCTCTGTTTAAGGAGGAAATCCTTTATTTGGAAATAATTTTGACATAAATAATAATTCTGTTCTGGGTTTCATATGAAGCCTGGAGCGAGCAGATCCAGTCGCCCTGCAGTCGTATTGATTCTGGGCGACCTCTAAGTGAATTCTGGGTTCTTCACGGTTCGCTGCAGAAAACAGAAGCCAGGCGAGGAAGAGGCGCCGCGGCGGAATAAAAAACCCATTTAAAACCAATTATCATGAATCATTAGACAGGTGGRGGAGAAAACACCTGGAGGAGGAAAAATGACAAAGGAGGAGAATCATCAGGTCCGAAGACGCTGAGTGTTCTGGTTCCTGTTGATCCGATAATGACTTGGAGCCTCCGTCTGATTACTCCTCAGGTTTTAATGGCTCTAAATTAGTTTATGGTCCGGTCTGATTACAGTCACAGTATAATAGTTCCCACTTCATTACTGATCCAGGTGGTGATAAAACGACTCAAACTGAAAGCTGTAATTAAAACTATTAATATAATAACAAATTATCTCTTTTACACACATTTTAAAAACATCTGGACGGAATAAACTCAAATGTTTTATACAAAATGGATTTAATTCAGGAAAATTACTAGCTCAGTTTCTGAGTCTGATTTTCATCTAAAACCAGTTTTTCTTCAGATTTTGAACCTTTAATATAGTTTTTATTATTAATTAAACAAAAGTAAGTTGTACAAAAGTAGTGAAAAAAGAGTGGAAAAAAGGTTTTATAAAAGGTAAAAAACGCAGTTACCAAATGTTTAAAAACTGTTTTAACATGTAGTCAAATTTTACAGATATTGGACTAAAATATGAGGTGGTAGTAGCTGAGAGAGTCATTCACAAAAATATACTTTTGAGTTTTCTGAGAATTGACCCAAACGAGTTGTTCAGTCATTTTTTAATGTACGATTTTATTTTAAAACTCTGGCAACTGATCCAGATGTGAAAATCAGGTGAAGATCAGCAAAACACAAAATGAATTCAGCAAGACACAGGCAAAAATCAGCAAGACAAGCAAAAATCAGCAAGATACGACTGAAAATCAGCTATACATGAGTGAAAATCAGCAAGACACAGGTGAAAATCAGCAAGGCATGCCTGAAAATTAGCAAGACACGAGTTAAAATCAGCAAGACGTGCCTGAAAATTAGCAAGACACGAGTTAAAATCAGCAAGACGTGCCTGAAAATTAGCAAGACACGAGTTAAAATCAGCCAGACATGAGTGAAAAGCAGCAAGACACCCGAAAATTTGCAAGACGAGTTAAAATCAGCAAGACACATTAACATACTGATTATCCTGAGAATTGACCCAAACAAGTTCAATTTTGTTATTTATTACAAATAACAATTTTATTTTAAA